GACCCACCCACTTTACTCCTTACATGGACTTTCAGTTTTTATTCTTACTTCTTGACTCCCATCAGCACATTGGTCACATCATGGCCATGGCAGCCTTCCAGATTATGTGGGTTATTCGCCAATTACTGGCTCATGATTACACGGTTTATTTATGAATTCTGGTGCATTACCTTTCATAATATGTTCAATAATGTTGGATACCTAAGATAAACCAAGCATGGTGTATATTTTTCTTACAATGAAGACTTGGTGAGACTTCAGCCAATTCCCCCAGTATACTTTCTGCACAGAAGTGAGTATTTAAATGAATTTTCTTAGTTTTCCTTATGAAAGTTATCCCAACTTGTTCTCCATATTCACATGGAACAGAGTGAAGCAGTTGTTACGGAGTACAGCTTTTTGAAGTGAAGGGAGAAGAGTGAAAGAGCTTAGCAGTGGCAGACAGTCTTTTTCAGAGTTTACATTTTTCTCTTGTCAGTGTCTTCCCCTTCCACTTTTTGCCAAGAGCAAAATGTCACATAACTTTTAAAAAGTGTGGACTTTTTCAAAAGCAACAGGAAGAGAAGGAAAAGGTACACGGCTGTGCACTACAAAAGTATGAAAAGTAAAAAATGCAGAAATGCAGTTCACGTCGTGTTCTGAAATTCATTCTCTGCCTTTCCTTTATGCTGTCAACAGTCATTAGTATGGATTACCACATTTATCTCTCTAACTTTGCACAGTCAGTGTACGCTGAGTTGAGCTGAGGTGGAGGCTGTTTGTGGCCATGGGGTTTCGCTGTCCAGAGAGATGAATTGGTCTGCAGGGCTACCTCTCAGTCTCAGACAGAGCCAGAGGTTGTGTGCTGTGCAGTCTCTCATTCAGTAATTCAGAGGCAGTTCTGTTCAGGAAATTTGGAGATGGACTATCCACAGGGAGTAGTAAGGAGCACTGCATCAAACCCCTCCCGTATTGCTGAAAGCAGAGCCTCTTCTGCTCCCTCCTATCCCTATTTCTCTCTTTGTTTTTGGTTTCTTTTCACTAAAGACTGATTGATTTCCTGTATGTGTGCATGCCGGCGTCTAAGAGCATGACACTGGCATTTGTACTGTGTGTCTGAGAGGGTTCTTGGTGTATTGATGAGCTTTCCCATAAAAGATTAATCTGCTGATGCAAGCGAGTAAAGACGCCTTGCTTAAAAATGTGAAAAGGATTTCCAAGATGACCCCACGGTTGATCAATAAACGCTAAAACAAACTATCATTTAATGTCCCGAGGGAGAGGGCAAGGGTCCATGCTTGTGTGCATATGGCACGGTGACTTCATTGAATTGTGCTGATTGCACTGCAGAATGATGCAATCAGCACAACCTGCAATTCCATAATGAATGTGAATGATGATTAGGCCCACAATGAGCAGATATTGACAACAGGAGCTATCATCATGCAAAAGAGCTTCCATAATGCTTGATTATTATACTCAGTAATAACTGTGGCACTGTCTCAATGCTTGGCTCCATATCTAACAGAGCAATCAGGACCGTTTTAGTATTTAGGACAGCCAAATGAGCTGCTTTTAGACATTTAGTTACGTACCTTGTGCTTTCAAAGCTAACTTCCAAGCCATCACATGTCCTCTCTGCAGGCTTTAAGTGACACTCCAAGGGTCTTTGTGAAACAGTGCCATGTGGCCTCCCAAACAATACATTCTTGCGCTATACAAAACAGCTTGTGCAAAACAACTTAGGTGTAATGAGACAAGCGGTCAAGTCCTCATAATTATTACCCCATTTGCAGCCAGCTATTGACATTTAGCTGAAAGTGCGGGAACAGAAATCATGCATAAAAGCTTGTCTTCACATGCTGTAGTACACCATATCTAATGTAGCACTTGGTGCTCACCATGTAGTAACAGTCGGCTTTAAAAGAAAATCTTGATGCTCTGAATGCTGAATGCTACTGAGTGATATATCTCAGTGAAAGCCAATGTGAGAAGCTGTCCATTACATTTACATTATTTAAAGTGGCATTAAAGCCTTTGTAACTTTCGCTGTATAATATCGACCAAGGCCATAAGTAAATTACAGGATAATGGCACGTGCTAAAAATGTAGTGTAACAGTAAGGACAGGAGTCATACAGTTTGTGACCTGACTCAGTGATGTTAGTTACACAGCAAGATATCATACCATGTCATACCAGACCAAGTAATGCCTACCTAACACAAGAAGACTTTGGAAATACTTTTAAAGACTAAAGTCTAAAGAAAATGTGAGTTTTTAATTGCAGACTATAAGAATTTTAAAGACTGGGGATCTTGCAGGGTCACTATAACTAGATTCCTTTTGAGATCATTTCCCATCCTGCTCCTGGTTGAAAATATTACACCAAACTCCCTTTAAGAAATACGACTTTCACAGTTCTGTAAGTGTTCAAAAACACATAATTCTGGAAACACAAGATTAAAGGTGTCATATGTCGACAGTATTCTTGTCAACTGGCATCAGTATAATCTATAAATATAAACTCTATTTGCATACAGTCTACATTTTGGATTTTGTCGTCTCAACTCATTACCAGCCTCTGTGTGTTAGCTCCACTATTATAGTGGTTGGATAACATAGAAATAAGTGGCGAGCCGTTTCAAAGATTAAGATGTCTCACTAAAATAAGTACCGCTTTGTGAATCAGAAACACGCCAAACTAAACACTGACCCTTGTTCACTCCGCAACTCCCACCGGTCTCTCCTCCTCTCCACAGACCAAGAGAACCGAGACTTGTTTACATTCTTGCACCTCCCTGGGGTCCCCTCCATGTGTACTGACTACCCAAGTGGCTTCTTGTTTGCTGCTGGTTGTTGACATGTTCATGCCATTGAACTTCAGTAGTTACATGAGCCAAGACTAAAAATGTACAATAATATTAAACATGGTTGATTTTGTTAAAACGTCAAGACGAGAAAAAGACCTATATATGTTCTATGACCACTTTACACTAAATGGTGGAGATCATGGACGCGCACACCAACTGGGAAATAATTTTTTTAATTGAAAAATTGTCTGTGACTGTGAAATTGCTTGAAAAGTAATTTGGTGAAAGGCTGGCGTAAGGCTGTGGCGGCAAAACCCCTCAGTGTATTGAAAGTAAATTGCTTATGAATTCAAGTTTTCATATCTAAGATGAGGAATATTTTCTTTTTCAGAAGTCACAGACCCTTCCTTTACAGGTATACTATGCAAGATATTCCTAAAACGAAAAACACACAATGTATAGACTCAAACAACAGTAATCCCTCTCAGTCATCACTTATGACCCACTAGAAGCATTGATCACATTACAGTGCAAGCCACTGAGCTGTAGTGGTGAGTTGGGTTTAAATTTGCACAGCACTGGAGCAGAGAAGGCTGACTAAATATACCAGAAACCCATCGAAATATTTAATGGAGATGTTGAACACAATTATAACACACTGCTTTGTCATTTCTTTTTTGCTTTGAGAACAGCAGTGCTCATTAGCCCTTACAACTGAGATGTCAAGGTGGGGAGGAGGACGATTACCAGCGTCTTGTGATTACAATAAAATGAGAATTTTGAAAGCCACAAATTTCAGTGCTTGGCAGAGGAATTATTAAATAATTGGTGTCAATGATTAAAAAAACACACACAATATAATAGGATAGCACAAAAACATGCTTATCTTTCTCATTTTCTTTGACATAAATAGTAATTTTATCTCTTCAAATGTAATCAACTAATTTAAAGCCGTGTCAAAACAGACACACGCCTCAGACATTTTGTCCGTGGCTCTCAAAGCAGTGTAATCATATAGCATGGTGTCCATCCTGGTGTGCTGTCCGAGTGCCAGGCACTGACAGCTCGCACCATCAGGTTACAAAGAATTCTGCCAAAAACACCAAATGAGCGCAGTCCCTCTGCCGCGCCACTGAATCACTGTGTGTTGTGTGCAAATAGCTTTGCCTATGCGGGGATGTGTGCTGTGCTTATCTCCTTGTGTGTGCAGGATGTGTGTGCTAAAGTGCATATGATGGTTTGTGTGTGTGAGGCTGTGTGCACGCAGGCATTTGTGAATATCTTTTTGTGTGTATCTGCGCACCATATCCTGTCTCTCGGCAGGGATTCTTCTTCTCTTCCTCAGCAAACAAACAACGTGGCTGCCAGAGTAGCCGTCGGTCCCAACAGACAAATCCTCTGTGGGATCGCCTGACAATGTGGATGTACAAATACAAGATGTTTTTTCGGTGTACAGCTGCAAGTCATGCTACTGTAAATGATAGAAAACAGTTATGTAATTAGGCTCTGAAGAATTTGAAGGGTTTATACATGTACAGTATTTGTGTTTTATTTGTCGCAGATACAGTTTCATCATCAGTATAGAAATCTCTGAACATTTATTTGTAAGACAATGTAGTGTTTAACATAGCAGAAATGCATCAAACCAAATTCCAGGCCCATGAATGCACCAGATGGGAAAAGTTAAAGTCATATTTTATCTGTGACCCTGTGTGGGAAACATGTCCAATAACCACCGACCCCTGTGTCCATAGCAGCAGAGGAGGGGAAGGTGAAAAATGGATGTTACCTGAAATATTGATGTTTCACTGCAACACACCAAAGAAACCTACAGAGCGCAAGATTTGACTCAAGTCTTTGCTTTAGTTTTCATGGTTTTTGTGTCTTTCATTGAGGATTTATGAGCGCAGGCTGTGTGTTGCTCTCAGCAGGGGTTGGCTTCAGGTAGCTATTTTTCTCGTTTGTTGTCATGCCCTTTTCTGTGGTACTGAATCCAAACAAACAGTCCTGCACAAGTCAGAAAACATTTCATTATAACTCAGCAAGGTGCATTAACTGCTCACTGAGGAGGTGGACTAATGGAAGCAGATGTTAGATTTCATTTTTAAAAGGCCTGTGGAGGCAAGGCTATCAGGGAATCAGGTAATCCTTGCCCTTATGATGGGAGAACTAATCCCAAGTAACATCTGTTTTGTGTTTGTTTAATCCCAGGCACATGAGCAGTTTGAGGAACCCAAGCTCGAGGCCGTGAGGGAGAACAACGTGGAGCTGGTCCAGGACATCCTCAAGGAGCTCAACCCGCTCACAAACAGGAGCCAGGCAGCCGACGAGTTAGTCCGCATCCTGAAGGAGCCTCACTTCCAGGTCTTGCATCTCACAGCAAACTGTAGCTTTAAAGAACAGGCACTCAGGCTAAAACCTGTGATTGCTTTTCAAAGTGATGTCCATGCTTGATGCATGTTGTCCAAGCATGGATTAGATTGATTAGGAGCTACAGTATGTGTTTCAGTCCATGTAGTGTCAGACAAGGGCTCTGCACAGCATGGGCGAATGATGAGACAGTGGGCCCCTGGGCACAGACATGCAGAGGGCCCCACCACCTCTCCTACATATGAATAACACACACAGACTTTGTGCTGTCTTTGCCTCTTTTAGTTATTGTTGTTTTGCATCTCTTTGTAGTTGTCAGTATCTTTTTGTGGTTTTGTGTCTCTTTGTGGTCATTTTCTATGTCCGTGTGGTTGTTTTGTGTTTCTTTGTAGTTGTTTTGTGTCTTTTAATTTTTCCTTTGCATCTCTTTGTTGTAATTTTGTTTGTCTTTGAGGTCAGTTTGTGAGTCTTTGAGGTATATTCATGTCCCCTTGTAATCATTTTGTGTCTCTTTGAAGTCATTTTGTGCCTCTTTGTAGTTCTTTTGTGTCTCTTTGTAGTCCTTTTGTGTGTCTTTTGGTTGTTTTGTGTTTCTTTGTAGTTGTATTGTGTCTTTTTATGTTTTCCTTTGCATCTCTTTGTTGTCATTTTGTTTCTCTTCGAGGTCAGTTTGTCAGTTTTTGAGCTATATTTGTATCAATTGTAATCATTTTGGATCTCTTTGAAGTCCTTTTTTTGTGTCTTTTGGTTGGTTTGTGTTTCTTTGTAGTTGTATTGTGTCTTTGAGGTATACTCATGTCCCCTTGTAATCATTTTGTGTCTCTTTGTAGTCATTTTGTGCCTCTTTGTAGTCCTTTTGTGTGTCTTTTGGTTGTTTTGTGTTTCTTTGTAGTTGTATTGTGTCTTTTTATGTTTTCCTTTGCATCTCTTTGTTGTCGTTTGGTTTGCCTTCAAGGTCAGTTTGTGAGTCTTTGAGGTATATTTGTGTCCCTTTTGATCATTTTGTGTCTCTTTAAAGTCATTTTGTGTCTCCTTGGAGTCCTTATGTGTGTCTTTTAGGTGGTTTGTGTTTCTTTGTAGTTGTTTTGTGTATCCATAGTTCATTTGCATCTCTTTGTTGTCATTTTGTTTCTCTTCTAGGTCAGTTTGTCAGTCTTTGAGGTATATTTGTATCCCTTGTAGTTATTTTGGGCCTCTTTGAAGTCCCTTTGTGTGTCTTTTAGTTGGTTTGTGTTTCTTTGTAGTTGTATTGTGTCTTTTTATTTTTCCTTTGCATCTCTTTGTCATTTTGTTTCTTTTCAAGATCAGTTTGTGAGTCTTTGAGATATGATAAGTGTTTTGTGTTTCTTTGTAGCTCTTTTGTGTCTCTTTATTAGAGTTGTACCGATACCAGTATCAGAAATGCCTCTGATACTGCCTAAAATGCGGTATCGGGTATCAGGTATCGGGTATCGGCGAGTACAGCCTATGACCAATCCGATACCATGTAATGCCTCACGTCATTACGCATACGCACACTACAGGCAAACGAACCTTGGTTATTTTGTGTCTCTTTGAGGTATATTTGTGTCTGTTTAGGGCCTTTTTCATCTCTCTCCCTGGTTGATTAGTGTTAATTTGAGTGACATTTTGCAGGTGAAAGCGTACCCTTGATACTTTGGGTCCTGGGGCCTGTGTCTAGTGTGCCTGTTCAGTAATTCATCCATACTGCACAGAGCAGAGAACATGTGATTTGTGCAGTATGGCATGATCATATTAGCATCTCATAAATTCCTGTATTGGGAAAAACCTATTTGTCATCATCAGTGTTTTTGTCACCTGTTGTTGTGCTCACAGTCCCTCCTGGAGACCCATGATTCTGTGGCATCCAAAAACTATGAGACACCTCCCCCCAGCCCCTGCTCTTTCATGGACGCAGCCCTCAACAACCAGCCCGTTCCCCCAGACGCAGTCAGGATGGTGGGCATCCGTAAAGTGTCTGGCGAGCACCTGGTAAGTCTGCTCACTTAACGAGCAACCCATTGAGGCGGCGTAGAGCTCTCCTGTAAATTGTAAACAGATAAAACTCCTCAATAAATGGTGTGATTTGTGTTTTGGGAGCAGCTCATGCACTCGGCTTAATGAGATCTTTTTGTAGCATTGTTAAAAAGAGAAACAAGTCTGTTTTATTTTGCCTTATAGCACAGAATAGGGAGGGATTTATCCGCAGTTGGCTGACATATTGTTGATTAAAACCAAGGACTCAGTGATAACTTTGCCAGGTGCTCTATTGTTTCCCTTTTTGTTCACAAAATCTCTGCCAACTGTCTGTAGAGTCACTTGTATGTTTGTAAAGGATCATTTCACACATTACTGTACCATGTAGGAAGTTACTTGTGTCACTAAATCCAAACTGTATCAAAGGTGAGGAAGCATTAGTGGAGCCTTAAAGGGACAGATAAGGAGCAGCAACACCAACTGACAGTAATATAACTGTCAGACAAGCAACCACATCCTGAATTATATCTTTATTTGATCCTAAATATCTTCTTAATGGAACAGTTGGAACAGTTTTTTGCAGCCAGCATCTGGTGGCCATTACAGTAATTGCAGCTTAAGACATCTCTGCATTAGCTTTACCACTCAGCCATGGCACTTGCTGCTTGTTCACAGCACTCAACTTCACCCCCACCTACATGCCTTTAAAACTGCTGAGCTACAAGGACATAGCAAGTTGTTTTAAAGAGTACAAATCTGTGTTCTTGTGAAATAGATTTTGTGTTAGTAAACCCACCTAGCAAATGATTATTATAATTTGACTGTGTCTGTGTGTAGGGAGTGACATTTCGAGTGGAAAGCGGCGAGCTGGTGATTGCCAGGATCCTTCACGGCGGCATGATTGACCAGCAAGGTCTGCTCCATGTGGGTGACATCATTAAGGAGGTGAACGGCAAGGAGGTGGGCAACGACCCCAAAGTGCTCCAGGAGATGTTGAAGGAGGCGAGTGGCAGTGTGGTGCTGAAGATCCTGCCCAGCTACCAGGAGCCACACACACCAAGACAGGTCAGCTGGGGATACACACAAATCAGTTTAAATACAAATATTATGCTTCACATTTGCACAGTCAGACACAGTGTTAGAATACTCAGCAACCACCCAGGAAATGATATTAATTTGAAAAAGAACTTTAGATATACACTGCTGTTTAAAGGTTTAAACCTCCAGCCACAAAAGCTTGATTTGGTAGTCAGATAACTGAGAGGACTACTCTGTATTGTTAATAGTCTCCTGCTTTTAAGGTTCTGTATAAATAGATTTTGTTTTGTATGAGGGGTTTGTTTTGTACATGGAGAATAAAACACTGCACAGTGGTTCAACCAGACTGACAACTGAAAGGGCAGAAAGAGACAAAGATACCTATGAGCAACAGTTCAATAACAATAGAGGAAATCACCAGTCACTGGAAAAAGAAATTAGAAGCTTAGCATCAGAGTGTGCCCAGATTTTAACAGGAACAGGTTTCAGTGTCAAGTGAACAATGATGCCTTTAACAAGCTTGAATTAATGTTGTACATGTTGCTGCAGCAAAATTATTCTTCAAACTTCACAATAGAAAGAGAAGATTAGTCAAGGGCAGGGGTGCTCTAGGTTTTATGACTGGGTGCTGATATGGGGTGTCAGCATATGAGTCAGGGCCACACAGGAAAATTACAGTTATGTTTTTTCCACCAAAAAAACTTTAGCTTTAGAACGGATTTCCTGCTATACTTGTGCCACTTGTTGCCATGCAACCAGTATCTAACCTGACAGATGCTTATGTAAGCTATAGATAGTCAAAGTATTTAAATGGACTATAAATGATGCATGCATATCACGTCACGTTTGCGGGCCACACAAAATGTTTCTGAGGGCTGCCATTGGCCTTTGGGCTGCAGTTTGAGCCACAGTAGTCTAAGGTCAGGATATATCAGCTGAATATACAATGGACTGACAAATCAATTTAAAACTGTTCAATCTCACAACTGAGTAGACTGCAGAGGGCCCAAAGGAAAATATTTAGAGCCCAGTTGCACTGTTGTGGTTTAGTAATAATCGAGGGTCACTTACATTTTGTTGGGCTGGTAAACAAATCCATAACCGAAGGATATTTGGGTGAAAGAACGGTTCCAACAGTATCCTCCTACATGAGACACTGTGGGGACGGCAACTAAGTGGAAGTTTGAATCTTTTCATTCTTCTTTTTTTTTAGACTATTTTGAATTTAAATAATACATTTGGTGGCCATTGTGAAAGGAAAGAAGAGAAACATCACTGTAACAGGTGATTCCAAACTTTTCAACAGCAATGTGTTTATGTAGTGCTTCCATATATAGTGCTTTACTCTGGACATAAAACCAAGAAATGTATTGGTAGTAAAATAAATTAGATCAAATATAAAGTGACATTTAACAAATTAAACCCAAATGTAATAAAAGCTGAACAAATATGATACTTAAATGTGTAAACTCTGTTCATGACAGTGGATCCATATAGCTCACATCTTCTTCATGCTTGTTTAAGAGAGTTACGGCAACTCCTTGTGTTTAAACTGTCGTAGTTATCTTCCTCATTAAATCTCACACTCTTTCAAGGTAAAACACGTTCTTGATCATCCATCCTGAAATAGATATTACACAAAAGGTTATGATCAGTTTGAAAGGATACTGTCATTTTCTTCAGTCAAGTGAGTACCACTCACTGTCCTCGCTGGCACTCACCGTGATGTCTGTAACCTTGTATGCTGTGCCAAGAATCATACATCTAATCCTAGATCGGGACTTTGTAGATGACATTGGCTACTTAGCTGTAATACCTGCTTTACAGTTTTGTCACTTATCCAAATATAGAGTCATTTTCCGCTCATACATAATGGATCAATAATTGAAGTTTTAAAGGAGAAGAAAGAAAAAGAGGGATCCCAGATGACACTGGAGTCCTTGTCCTTTTTCATTTTGTCCTTTCCTCCCACAGTTCACATCAGAAAGATTATTCCAGTTTGTTGGATATCAAATATTTGTAGGAAGTTACTCGAGAGCATTTTAAAACAGCTGAAAAAATCACAATGTAGTCACGGCCCTCCTTGGGTTATGCCAGTTAATGAACACTAGCTTTCTAAGAGCCAGAGGAGGCTAGTCACACTAAAAACGTGACCCAGTTTAGAGTGAAGGGAAACAGAAGGGTTATGTTGCCTGGTGATGCCAATAGGATGGGAGGATAGTGCACATCGGAGGATGCAGTGCATACAGCTGGGGATGTGTTAGGCACAAGGCTCTGTGACTGATTGGTCTCAGCAGTAGAGAAGAGGAACACTAAAGCTTGAAGAAGCTGTGCCAAATTAATTCCTTACACTAGACCAAAATATACTAGAACATAATCTACAAGAAAATGGTGTAGAGAGGGTTTATGTGCTAGGATTATCAGCACAGACATACACATGGATTTGAAGCATGTTACTGCTGTTGAGTGAAAAAATTGAAAGGTTAGAAGTTTTCCGCCAGATGAGAGTTCAGTTTTAGCCTCACTGGCAATTTCGGTCAGTCAGTCAGTCTACCCCTTTCTCCAGACTGAAATATCTCAACAACTCTTGGATGGATTACCATAAAATTTTGTACAGACATCCATGATTTCCAGAGGATGTCTTTGGTGATCGCTGACTTTCTGTAGTACCAGCCAGGTTGACATTTGTGGTTTTAGGGAAATGTCTTGACAACAGTTGGATGGATTGCCATGAAAATTGGTGCAGACACATACATTGGTAATAACTTTAGCCAACTTTTAGGTCGAAATCTCAACCTGTTTAGTACTTTGGTTTGTGACCAACTACTTGTAAAACAAGCGACATTTCCACTGGCTTTGGCAGTGCTTTAAATTTATTTGATAATTAGCAAATGTTAGCATGACATCACGGGGGCGGTGCCTTACATCCAGTGTCACACACGTCATGTGCCTAATGCGCATTCTCATCGGCTGGCATTGGGTCACTCAGCACTTCTTTGGATAAGCTAGCAAAAATGTAACCCAAAGAGTTGATAATTAACCTAACCTTTACCTTAATTCCAAGATTAAACCTACAGGAGACCTCAGGCCAAACTGTACCTTCAGACATGATTTCTTATGTAATTATTGGTTTATGAAGATACCCTTAGATTTTTGATCCTTGTACTGCTGCACGGCTGCAACTATGACTTACGTTAGACTTCCTGCAGGTTTTCAAATGACTTTTACATGACTGCTGATAATTTCTCAAATTGACCATCATGATGTTTTATTGGAAAATGTAGGCCACAACTACTGTAAATGGGCTAAAATATATTAAATTTAGATGGATCAAATTATGTCCAGCAGCAAAAATCTACTCAGATGACAGGTCTGTATTCTGTATCAATGTAGTATCTTGCATCAATTGATGCCCAGTCTGAATGGGCTTATTATTTGTACAAAACTAGCATAACTCACCCTCCAATATGGAAAGAGTACAGGCTAAGCAGGGCTGAGACGTATCAGAGCTAAAGGCAAATAGTTAACATTATACCTGCTAAACATAAGCATGTTAGCATTGCCATTATAAGCATGTTGCCAGACTAGCATTAGCATTTAGCTCAAAGCAACTGCATGAGGCTGTGCATAAAGGAGCTCTTTATGCTATTCAGTTTTTTTATTTCAAGTTTGTCTGCACACAGCTCGCAACATGGAGGTAGCTGAGCCAACAGTTAGCAGCTAATGGTGCTAACAGCGTGAACAGTACTAACCACGGCTTAGGGCTGAGAGAGCTATTAGTGTTAACCTGGGGGGATCGGCAGAGTGGGTGCTACACTTCTGCGACAGCAGCATCCCAAAATCAGTGGTAAATGCTCTATGAGTACAGTGCAAAGCAGCCCCGAGATAAGCTAGCCAGTGGGATACCCACATGCACTAAAATGCACATGCGACAACACACACTGAGGGAATGTGACCTCATTCTCTATCCAGGACACCATTACTCCACTATAACTTTTTCTCTATTAATGCTCTAAGTGTCATATACAGCTCATTTAAGTACAGCCAATAGGCTGTATATAAAGATGGTAAACATAACAGCTCCCTAAAAGAGAAGCCAAAATATCTTGATTGCCCCCTGGTGGCCGGCTGCAGTATAGGTCATAAACCCCATCCCTCTGTTAGTGGATGGGACCAGGACCAAACTAAAAACTCAAAGTACACATCATAGCTGTGAATGACTCATGATTGTGTCAAGTGGGTGTATAGGTGAAACCTCAATACGGCCTCTGCACCCCCTAATCACTACCGCCGTCACCAACGCATGATGGCAGCAGCCATACCCGGGATATTTTGTCTTCATTTTTGTACAGTTGGAGGAAGTGGAGCCGCGTCGTCCATCTCTACATTCTATGGTACAGCCTCACAGACCCACTAGAATGGCCCTAGCCACTTAGTATTGTTACATCACTCTTTTGGCTTTGAATTAGTCCCAATAGATCAGTCCCAATTCCCTCAGCCTGTAGAGGAACTGTGTAATCTTTAAAATGAAATGAAAACATGGAAACTACAAAAGCTGGAGCTGGTAGGTTCACAAACGACAGCAGCTGTACAGCGGTTGTAAAAGACAAAATCATATTTCAGCAGTTTGTTTTTTTTTTAACCACTGTTCTGGTGAGACCTGTGGAAACTGAGGGCAGCAGCCAATCTGACAGAAATGATCTAAAATTGCTTTCATGTAGGAAAACTTACCACCCTCCCATTTCATAGGGTTATCCACTGAATCGAGTGTGTTCGGAGTCACGGCTCTTTCCAACATTTCAAAAGCAACAGACTTTTCTGTAAGAAGACATTTCTACAGTATGTCTTCTTCAGACCTTCGCTGTGCAAAACCAGAACATATACAAGTGTTCAGTTTTCCTTTTTTGTGCCATCAGCTCCAGATATCAAAGTGCCCACTTGAACACTTAATAGCGGCTGTCAGTCAGAGATATTAAAGAATGATTTGGCTGCGCTCACACAGTAAAGTGCTGCGTAGGTGGATGTTGTACTGTGTGAGGAGTTGCGATGATTAGAGTTGTTCGCAGAAGTTCTCTTTGAATGTAATCCAGCTGTCTGTGCTTCACGCCTTGAGCTTTGCCATCGCATGGTGACTAAACTCAACTGACAGCTCCCTGTGGCCAGTTGAGACTGTGCGTGTGCGCGTGTGTGTGTCTATAGTGTCCTTACAGGGGAATGAGACACACACACACACACTGTACAGTAAGGGCTGGCAGCCTTTTTTTATGTTCATGCATCAGTTCAGTACGAGAAAAGGCGTCAAGTACATGGGGGGGATGGGATGGTTGCCATGGCTACAGATTTTGGCTCTCTCTCTTTTCATTTCTCTCTCTCTGTCTCTCCCTCTCTGTCTGTCTGTCTGTCTGTCTGTCTGTCTGTCTCTCAGTCTCCTTGCCCTGACAGTGGGGGTTGGGATAAAGGGTTTGGTTTATGAGCTGAATCCTGAAGCCTTGAGATGTCGGGAAAGTGAGCTGAGAGATGGAGTAGGCTTTAAGTGCACAAGGCTGTTTCATAGTGATGGACACTTAACCAATCCATCTACTCCAGATCATGTAGTGTTCATACACCACACTAGAGCCAGCCGGTTTATTCAGTTCAATGTGTGTGTTTTTTCCTGTCTGTTTTGAAATCCATTACTGTAATTTTACTGACACCTTCTCTTTTTTAACATCTTTATCCATTCAGGCCTTTGTCAAGTGTCACTTTGACTATGACCCATCCCACGATAATCTGATTCCCTGTAAGGAAGCAGGGCTGAGCTTCAACAGTGGAGACATTCTGCAGATTTTCAACCAGGAGGACCTCAATTGGTGGCAGGTCAGTACAGCTCTAAGGTCAACATTTTTGTCCATCATTTGCTTCAACTAAGACTAAGCTTGGACCAGTGGAAAAATGTTTAAACCAGTATGATTTTAAGCCAAACACCAGCCCGGCATATCAAATTTTATCACTAGGTGTCACATTCGACTCTGCACTCGTTCCCAAGGGGAACATAATGAAAGCTTATCCTAACAATAAACGAGCGTTCGACTAAAGCTTTGTGTCAGACGCTCTCTGTCCACATTGAATCCATTAAAAAATGCACTTCTGTAAACAAACCAGTGACCTATGAGCTGTATGTGTGAGATCAGACTAGAGCTGTAACTCCCGCTGCAGCTGTGGCTCAGAGGTAGAGCGGGTCTTCCTGTAATCGGAAGATCAGCGGTTCAATGCCTTGCTCCTCCAGTCCGCATGTGGAAGTATCCTTGAGCAAGATTCTGAACCCCAATTGGTCCCGACGACTGTTCCATAGGTGTGTGAGTGTTTTAAAAACTGAGAAGCAGGTGGCACCTTGCATGGTGGCCTCAGTCACCAGTGTGTGAATGTGACTCATTGTGTAAAAGCACTTTGAGTGGTCAGATGACTAGAAAGGCGCTACACAAGTGCAGGTGTATTTTCCATTTAAATGATGGGTGAGTAGCCTACTTGATATTGCTCCTCGTGTAAACTTTTAAAACAGAAAACACACGTTTTATATTGTGATATTTACTAGATGTCAGTGAAGATTCTCAGTCATCCAGGTTATGGTAATCATAAGTGCTATATCATAGGCAACTGGACTTGCATCATTTCTTGAAGACGTTTCGCCTCTCATCCAAAGAGCTTCTTTAGTTCTGAAGGACTATTGCGGAGTCGCAGGCTTTAAACACTGTGTGGGTATGGACCCTTACAGGTCACATGTGAGCTCTGAGTTTCAGAGTCGTTGAGGTCACATGTGAGTCATTGACCCACCTGGCTATCTTGTGTGTCGTTAGGGTTGGATGGGTCAAGGTGAGAATGGGTGTTAAATTGTCTGGGGACGGATCCCAAGACTGCATCGTAGGTGGGTGTTAAGTGCTGTCGTATGCCACCTCCTCTGTTTAATGATGGTCTGTTTTGACATCGACCATTGTTAATCTGTAAATGTAGATGGCCTGTTAGAAGCCACATTCATCAAACTGGAACAACCATCGTGGTGTGACACCACACCAGTCCATTACAAATGAAGAAGCCTTTTGGATGAGAAGTGAAACGTCTTCAAGAAACTCAAGCAAGTCCAGTCGCCTACGATACAGCACTTATGATATACACTGGAGATGACATACAATACAGCCAATAGCAAGTACAGCAGGTTGTAAGTAGCAATGGTGATTTATCTTACCAGAAACTTTCAGCTCCCTGGTCTCATTTCAACTTGAGTGATCAGGTGTCCCTCGTCCATTGCGGCAAATTCCAAGCAAGAGACAGGAATAAAGACTAAGAGGGTGTCCAACAAAAGTTCAGCTCAAAATGGCGCACTGCGTCACTCGCAGCCAGTTGGGACATTTCTTTCATTGGCTGCAAATCCAAAATGTTGTCATATAGTTTTCTTTGAGATTAACTCTGCCATGTCTCGTCTCGTCACCCCAAAAAACATGTGTACTCTTTTAGTAAACAAACATAACATGCACTGCTCTTGCTCGTCCCACCTCCACTGAAATTTGATGTTGACGGCCTCAGCTTGGCAGTAAATTGCACATGACCTGAGAGACACTAGTGGCTCGTTAGTCTGTGTATAAACAAACATAATATTATGTTAATCGTGTTTTCATATTGTTAATTACCAATGCAATACATGTTGGATGCTGTCGGCACAGTTTCTTGATGTAGGCTTCTTTTTAGATTTCCATGAAGTGTCAAAATGACAAATGCAGGTTCAGACAATTTTCATAAAATCAAACTGGATTAAACTGCGGACTGGACTGGCAAATACAGAAATCGACCCAACTCTTGCTAAGACTGAAGGGTTTTATTCACTGGCTTGTTAGCTTGTTCCCTCATCTTATCTTTTGTGTGTTTACCTCACAGGCCTGTCACATAGAAGGAGGCAGTGCAGGTCTAATTCCAAGCCAGCTGCTCGAGGAGAAGAGGAAAGCATTTGTGAAGAGAGATCTGGAGCTTGCTACCACAGGTACACCTCTCGGCGGCACGCAGCAGAGCAGAGAAGCACTTCTCATTATGCAGATTCGACACAGACTCCTCGCTGCACAAACACACCAACAACAAAGACAACATCTGTTCCTCTCCGTATCATACAAGCATTTCATCTGGCGCCGGCCGTTCATCCTCCCCGCACTTCTCGAGTCTGTTGCTCTGTCGGTGAGCACTGGAGAACTGGTAATGAGTGTCGGCGTGACTCAGGCGGCCTGATCCAATCTGCTTGTTATTAAGCCGCAGGGTCTGGCATTCACAAACAGCCCTCCCAGTGAAGGAGCTTTCATTGAGGAGTGGTGATAAGACCCCTGTAAATACAAACCTGATCAATAATCATCTCTTCCTATGAGATATGAGGTGAAAAGAGGCTCTGCTCCTTTAGATTTATCTGCTCTGTGAGACAAAACCAGGTGGTGAGTCACAGCCAGTAGCATGCCCTTCACTTGTAGAGGAGAGGAAGATGACAGCCCAACTGTACTGCCCTTGGAGCCTGGAAAGGACACATCTGTCTGCTAGCACGCTTTCCACATATTATACCAACAGAGAGCATGATTTGAATAAGAAATAGTCATTTTTGGATGGTGAGGTCTGAAATTGTTGATCCAATTTATACATTAAGAACAACACATCATAATTTAGCACCCTGGCTGTAAGGTGCGCACAGTATTTGTTTGTCACAGCTTGATGGTTTGAATTCTGGCATGAAAATGAAAAACAGAGCTCATGTTTGCTTCTATTTACGTCTCTGTTCATAAGACATTCTCCCCCATGGGCTAAATAATGTGCCATATTGAACAGACGGTCACAGGTGTTCTCTGGCAGCAGACTGGTTGCACAGACTGATCAGTATTGGTGCACAGTGCCATCTAGTGGTGAGGTCTTTCTATACCCTTCTGAGACTTTGGATTCATGACCCAACAGACATTTCACCTTGACAGTACATCATGTAAACAGGGACTTTCTTGAAGTGGGCGGCAGAGATGAGCACCAAGGTTGAAGGTTTTATTGAGTTTTGTGTGTTGCTGTCTCCCTCAGGTCCTTTATGTGCTGGGATGGGCGGTAAGAAGAAGAAAAAGATGATGTATTTAACCACCAAGAATGCAGGTAACTTACGAAACAAAGTATAACATCACAGTTTTTTTTTTCATTATGTTCATCAACCTAATCACTGATTTCTGATTAGAATTTGATCGTCACGAGCTGCGCATATATGAAGAGGTTGCCAAGGTCCCTCCCTTCAGGAGGAAGACACTGGTTCTGATTGGTGCACAGGGGGTAGGCCGTCGCAGTCTGAAAAACAAGCTGCTGGTGTCGGATCCCCAGCGGTATGGCACCACCATCCCCTGTGAGTGCAGCCATTCATCATCACACTAAACCACATACAGTGATACAAAATTCACCTGTCATTTAGTACCTTGTGTTGTTTTTGTTTATCATTGCTACAGCATTTGTTGCATACTGTGTAACTTTCGTTATTATCCCTGACAGCCGTTAGCCTGGAGGCCATCATGCATCTGTGGGCATGTGTGCATGAGTAAGTGTGTGAGTGTGTGTATCTGTATGCAGCTAATCTCACAAATAGCTGGACCAATCAGCCTCATATTTTGTGCGCACATTTATGACTGTATGCTCAAGGACCTCTTGTGGTCTGTTTTATTGACTGCTGACTCCTCACTCCTCTTAACCAGCAGGTGGGAGCATCAAGTTTTGCAGAAATCAGCTTGAAAAAAAAGCCTTACCTTCTGTTGCATTCATCATGTCAAACTAATTTCCATAGAAAATTTGGTCTCGTTTTGAACCGGAGCATCTGCAGATTAATGTCATACCCCATATAATAATGATAATAATAAAAAACTTCACTCACCTTTCAAAGCACATTTACAGCGTGCTTTGCAAAACAGAAGAAAAGACAAAGCAAATAAAACTAGATAAAAGTAATAAAGTACACATAACAGAGTAAAACACGCAATAATAAAGCAGTTAAAATCATGGGGCAATTTTAGACAAGTAGGTTTTCAGAAGTGATTTAAAAGGTGAGAGGGTTTGCAGAGAGTTTGCAGCCCTGATCTCCTCAGGCAGGTCATTCCAAAGTCAAGGAGCTCTGACTGCAAAGGCTCCATCACCTTTGTGAATTAATCTAGACCTCAGAACAACAGGAAAAGATGCATCTGAGGATCTCAGGGTGTGAGAAGGAACACAGGGCAAAAAAAGATATGTTATATAACTTGGAGCAAGGCTTCTCAGGGCTTTGTAAGTAATCAATAAAATTTTAAAGTCAATTCTAAAAGCAACAGGTAGCCAGTGTAGGAAAGCCAGGATTGGTATGATGTCATGTTTTGTAGTCAGAGTCAAGATTCTGACAGCAGAGTTTGGGATGAGCTGGAGGCAGGGGAGGGATTTTTTTTTTCACTGATGCCAGAGAGCAATAATCGCAATTGCAATAATCTAATCGAATGGTTATGAATGCATACATAACAGTTTCCAGATGTTTGTTGGAAAGGAATTATGTGATCCAGGAAATATTTCTGAGATGGTGTAACCCAGATTGAACTACTGAATTTACATGTTTGTATAAACTGAGGGTCTGAATAAAAAATGATGCCAAGATTTCTGCAATGTGGAGTTATTGAGTGGGACAGAGAACCAAGACTGTTTGATAGTTGAACGTTCATACTATCTTGTCCTATGATCAATATCTCTGTCTTGTCAGCATTAAGCTGCAGGGAATTCTGTGACATCCACATGTGTATGTTATGAAGGCAGTTTAGCAGGTTAATCATGTTTTGATAGTTATTTGTTGGATCACAGCTTAAATAGATCCGGGTATCATCTGCGTACAAATGTAAACTACTATGTCTGCCTATAAGATGGCCAAGGTGGAGTGTGTAAATTGACAAGAGAATCGGACCCAGCACTGACCCCTGTGGCACCCCACAGTGGACGTCTGTTGCATTAGACCTGGCATCAGCACTGCCCACACAAAAACGCCTATCTGTTAGGTATGACCTGAACCATTGATACCTACCCAGGCTTGGAAACGATCCAAAAGGATGTCATGGTCAGTAGTATTGACTTAAATCTAGGAGGACACGACTGGATTTATGGCCAGCATTGCTTTATTCATAAGTCATTTAAAACCTTAACATGTACAGTTTCAGTGCTGTGACAATTCCACCTGTCACAGCTGCACTATGTTTCGGTTATGAGCCGTTTTTGGTCCATCCTCTGAATGATTTCATATACAGTGGAAGCGTTTCAGAAGTGTTCTGCCTGCACAGTTTTGTACACTGGCAATTTTATTGATTTGGTCATTTTTCCTTGATATTTGTGCTTCTACCATAACTAAGTGAGCAGGCTATGGAGATAAATGTTTCGTTTTTGGTCTATTTTAGTTGTTTTTATTGTTGTTATTTCCTATTTTGTTGTGCTGTAGCTTACAAACAAAGTTAATATTATTGAAGGCCAGTTGTGAACCACATGGATCAAGGATTTTGGGCTGACTTTTACTCATTAAGAATACATTGATCCTTACAATTGTAAAATATCCTCTGAAATGCATAGAAGCATGTCTGCTGGAATTACAAAAACTGTCTAGAGTGGCTAGGATCAGCTTGGGCAGCCGGAACGCAGCTGCCTGGCTGAGATCTGAGTGCACTTTTCTAGTTTTGTGTAGTTTTTTACTTAAGTTAATTTCTGTTTTTTTCACCTTAGATTCCAGTCTCTTAATGCTGAAGTTGGAGTGTTTATATGTTTAAATGGTCTCTCTTTCACCTTCTTTTTGTGACTTTGTCCTTGCTTTTTACCTGTTAGTGTAAATGATCTATTGTCTGCCTCTTTTTTATCCCTCAGTCACCTCCAGAAAACCAAAGGTGGACGAGAGGGATGGCCAGATGTACTCCTTCATGACCCGCAGTGAAATGGAGTGTGACATCAAAAACGGTCGTTTCTTGGAGCACGGCGAGTATGATGGGAATCTGTATGGCACTAAGATCAACTCTATACACGAGGTGATCGAAACAGGCAAGATCTGCATCCTGGACGTCAACCCACAGGTAGAAAAAACTCCTCTCTGCCTTCAGTCTTTGCTTCTGTTCCTGTGGCATTTAAACTTCTGTCCAGTTTTGTCATGTTTTCCAATGTAAATGATCTAAGTATAAAATTCTAGATTCAGATTCTTGAGTGGTAAAAATGTTTAGACTTGGCACCAAATCTGTGTGAAAAATGGTATCAACCCAAAATTTGCTGCAGCAACTTATGAGACATAATTGAGCATGGGAATGGCCATTGTGTTCTAAGCCCTTATACACTCTCATCACACTGTTTATTATTTATTAATGACTAGAAAGAGCTGCATCTCAAATTAATCTCCAGGTTCCCAGCTTTCAGATGGTGTATACCACTTCTATGTGACATACACAGCTGACCTGCTATCTCCCACTAAAGATCCCCTGCCCCTCCTAAAAAAGACAAATCTGGGTCCATGGTGGGTCTCAGGGGGCTAAGCTCATCATAAATACGAAAAAACAAATCAAAACACTCTTTTAATGATGAACATTATTCGCTGGAAACACTCAGCTAATCTTATTTACACACATTAGCCTGATAAATTTGTTCGATGAAGATGCTGCATTTTAATCACATTCTCAGCTTTATAATTGCCTGTGAGTTGCAGCTCTTCCCATTGCTTGCTGTGCAGTGATGCGGTGACTGTTAAATGTCTCACATTCATTTGTTTTTCTCAGAAGGCTCTTAAAGTCCTGCGGACGTCAGAGTTCCTGCCCTATGTTGTGTTCATCGAAGCCCCGGATTTTGAGGTTCTCAAAGCTATGAATAGGTCAGCGATTGAATCAGGAGTGGTCACAAAACAGTTAACGGTGAGTGTGGAAAACCCATTGTCTCATTCATCTTCTACTATGACAAGAAGGGTCCTACATTAACGCACAGCTTGGAACAGTTTTTGTTAATTCCCATTAAAGGTTGCTGTCTCTGCTGCTTTGTTCATGCTGTTCACGCTGGCTTCATGTGGCTTTTTTTGATAGTTGGCGGGTTCATTGTTGATGAGGCCAGACCTCATTTGATGACAAAATGTGATCAAAGCTGAGTGTTAAACTCTTAATGAATTATATCTACGGATGTGTTTACAAAACTTTAACATCGATCGTTGGTTATTTAGTAACAAATACTTACCTTTGTTTTTCTGATTGCTAAGACACTGTCTCGGAAACCAGATTAGCAAAACATTATACATTCCTTGCAAAGCAAACAATTATTGCAAAAAAACTCTTTCAAAAAATTGTGTTTTCACATAATTACAGTGCACACAAACCATCATTTGAATATGCACGCAAAGCAAGAAGTACACACTGATGGTATAAATGAAAAACAGCATAGCAATTTGGAACAAAGTTGTCACACGTGTAGGAAACACACATACACAGATGTCCAAATGTGTAAAGTATAGATGTATATTCTGAACACAACAGACTATAAATAAGTTACGTTTCCTCAAAATGTTCTAACACTCCTCGAACAACTAAAGCACAGCAGAGGAAAACAAAAACATTTCAATCAGGAGAGACTCGTTTTTTATGGTTAAAAGAATATTAATTAACATGTGCAAATAAGAATTTAAATGTAGAAAGTCTTTGCCAGTTAGACAGTGGTGGTAGAGGTGGTGAAGATGAGATGAGGGGAAGATGGAGAAGTGCCGATGATCTGGTTGAGTAGAGGAATGAGCCGTTGTTGAGCTCGTCCTGGACTATGGATATGATGGCTGGAGGTGAACGGGGCGGAGGAGGGCGCAAGAGTTCTGCCTTAAATGACAGCTAACAGTAGCAGGGGAGAGATTGTGGCAAATTGTATAACTAGAAGAGGGAACACCTATAATCAACTGATTAGAGGAAGTGGGATGGAGAGAACTGTGAATGGATGAGCGCAAAGTCTTCCTGATTGAACTTGCGCTGAGCTTCATTTATGTTAGATTTGGCCATAAAACTTAATCCACATCACGTGCAATATTGTCTTGTGCTAGGCAGCGAGTGTGTCAATGTGGAAAGGCAATTACAAACTGCGTGCGTTCAGTTTGGCACACTTGGTAAATGCATTGGCCCAAAGTGTTAATGTTTACAGAGATAGTGCTTTAAGAGTTACTGTTTAATCATTCAAAAAAATATAATGTTACAGAGAAATACTTAAGATTTAAATGCTTTGAGGGGCTTTAAAGGTCAGTGGTTCTGCCTTTACAATCAAACTAAATGTTACATGTTGTACCCTGGAATCATTGGACTGAAATGCATCACATGGCAGCTCATCGTATTAGTAACTGGAATACCTAATGTGTTTGATTTACTCAGCATAGCAAACAAGAAAGTTGTGTTTCTACAATTTAAATTATGTAAACTAATTTGATTTCAGTTGCGCACCAATTTCACAGTTTACTCTGTTCTCCCATCCAAGTAATTGCCTGCTCATTGTATTTATTTCCATCTAATTGTCTCTCTGTCCTGCACCTCTCCCTGAGATGCTCCCTGCAGGACTCTGAATTAAAGAGGACGGTGGACGAGAGCGAGCGCATTAAGCGGGCCTACGGACATTACTTTGACCTCTGCATCGTAAACGACGGCCTGGAAGCGGCGTTCCGAAGTCTTCGGTTGGCGCTGGAGAAACTATCGACGGAGCAGCAGTGGGTGCCCGTCAGCTGGGTCTTCTGAAAGTCGCCAAGAGCTCACCAGCAAGGTGCCAGGGGCCACATGTCGGAGGTCAGAGGACGGTGTGGTAGCTCCAGAAGGGGCTGTCTCCATGCAGTCACCGGTGGTGGAGGTGTGTGGTGAAGGGCCGAGCGTCATGATTCAGTGCAAATGACCAGCCTCATGTAGAGCGTTTTTGTACAAACTTAGTGTTCCTCTGTTGAGCCTAATGTCAAGTTGTACTTTATTTGTTAGAACCGGAATCATTTTATTGATATTTGTTGAGAAGGATTTAGAGTTGACAATGAGCTTTAGTGCAATAGTGTGAGTGAGTATGTGTGCGCTATCATAAACGTGGACATAGACTTAGAGTAAAGAATGTGTTTTGCAGATAGCAGTGCTCTATTGAAGGTTTTCGTTGAAGGATATTAAACTTTTTAGCCTTTCCTACTTTATGTAGTGTAATGTTTACATTGGATTGGTAGGACAGATTGGTGAGGGGAAGATACCAAATGTCATATTTGTGATAAAAAAAAAATCTCTATATTTTACCATTTGATCATACAGTATGATTGTATGTGTTCAGAAATGTGCTTTATATTGTACGTCTCCACTCATTTGAAAAACGAACAGCAATAGATAATTTTAAACAAAAACATAAATACGTGCAATACATCTACTCACATACAAATAAACACACAGACACTACAAATATACATTTTGTGTTAATCTTGCCGTCTCGATTTATTTTGTTTCCTTTTTAAATGTTAATTATGTACATTTGTTGTCCTATGCTGGCAAAGCGTCTGATTTGTTGGACAGTGAGAGGACCAGCGAACGAATCACAGTTTCCGACTAGTACCTGCTTGATTCTGTTGGAGTTGTAATTGTAGCACTGAGAACAACAAAAAAACTGAAGAAAAAACTAAAGAAGTAGCCTACAGTATGCACTGATTGTATAATGAAGGCAAACATATTATTTAACATTACAGGTTGGACAATTAATGGAGGTTGTCATGTTTTTTTCTTTGTTATTTTTAATGTACAGATCAGTAAAATATTTATCAGTGGCTTCAAATTCATACTTACTTTTGCCTTAACATGATTCAAAAGCCAAGGAAACACTATCACTGTACACGTTTCTTCTTAGAAAATAGAGAAAAATAATACTGGCAACTCATTTAATATTTATTTTATTTTCCCTCAAACTTGTAAGTACTGTATTGTAATAAAGAGTATATAGTATAACATAGAGAAACACTTGGTGCTTTGATGATTCTGCTGGTGTGTAGATGCAGTTGGACAACTACACTGTAGTTTTGATGTTCATATAAAAATGTATTAAAATTGCAAATGTCGAGCATTGCTTCACCGTCTGCAGTTAATATCAATGCAAATTATTTTTAAGTTAAAATCACAACATGAAATAATTGGCGATAGTATTTTTTCATAATACACATTACACACAAAAACAAAAGAAAGTGCGTCAGCGTTTGTTGGCAGTTAAAATGGAGTGTGTGCCTGGTGTAGCCTTTCTGGCTATGGGTGGTTATGGGTGCTGCTTTCGGATGAAGAGGCTGGTGCTGTGGTTGTCATCTGGTGATGAGGTGCCAGAGGCAGTGTTATATCATGCATCTCGTAGGCAGGTAGTGAGTCCACCGGCCAAACGCTCGTCAACTTGGGGTCAAACTGCAGGAAAGTAAAATTGTCATTTGGTAACACAGTCCTTTTTAAAATTACTCGACATTAGTTAATATTTCATATTTATCTACTTTATATTTCAAATCATATAATGATAAAGGATGTAGCTCCAGATCACTAGCCTTAAAAACATCACAGAACATTTTTCAGTGTAAAAGGCAATAGTTCAATTTGGAAAACATACTTACTGGCTTTCTTCAAAGATCAACCCATCTTCCAGAATAAATGTTGGCTTTGTGCGCTTCTTCAAACCACAGGTGTGTTAAGTTTCTAGGTTTTATATGTTAAATTTGTACATTTCATATATAGCAGACATGTTGAAACTTTACATTTAAATTTTCAGTGTTATGTGGAGATCATTCTGTGGCTAACATGGTTAGGTTCAGGCACAAAAACCACTTAGGGTCAGTGAAACATCATATTTTGGCTTAAAATACCAGGTTTGGTTGCCAATAACATGGCTGGAAATGTCCCAGTTTCTCATTAAATACACAGTTCGGTTGCCACACGCTGAGAAATGTCCTGATGTCTTGTCAAAAATACCTGCTTTAAAAAGGTCCTGGCATCTCATTAAATATAGCATTTTGTTGCCACAAATACAGCTGGAAATGTCCCAACATTTCATTAAAAAAAAACAAACAAAAAAACTCCACTTTTGTCTCCGCAAATGCAGCTAAATATGTCCCAACGTCTTTTTAAAAATATCCAGTTTGTTTGCCACAAACACAGCAGGAAATGTCCAGGCGTATTGTTAAAAATACCTGGTTTGGTCACCACAAACACAAGCTGAAAATGTCCTGGTGACTCATTAAAAAAATACCATTTATTTGTGACATATTCAGCTGGAAATGTCCCAACATCTCATTAAATAAAAGCACACTTTTTGTCTCCACAAATGTGGCTAAATATGTCCCGACATCTTAAAAATACCCAGTTTGTTTGCACAAACACAGCTGGAAATGTCCCATCTTGTTAAAAAATGTGCACTTTTGTCACCACAGACATGGCTGGAAATGCCCAGACATCTTGCTAAAAAATACCTGGTTTTGTTGCCATAAATAAAGCTGGAAATGCCCTGCTGTTTCATCAGAAAACACATAGTTTTGTTGCCACAAACACAGCTAGAAATGCCCTGCCGTTTAGTTAAAAAACACAGTTTTGTCGCCACAAACAGCTGGAAATGCCCTGACAACTTGCTAAAAAATATCCAGTTCTGTCGCCACAAACACAGCTGCAAATATCCGGACGACTTGTTAATAATGCCTAGTTTTGTCGCCACAGACATGGCTGGAAATGTCCCGACATCTTGCTAAAAAAATACCCAGTTTTGTTGCCACAAACACACCTAGAAAAATCCTGATGTCTCGTTGAAAATACCTTGTTTGGTCACCACAAACACAGCTGAAAATGTCCTGGCGACTCATTAAAAAATACCATTTTGTTGTGATGTATTCAGCTGGAAATGTCCCAACATCTCATTAAACAAAAGAACACTTTTTGTCTCCACAAATGCTGCTAAATATGTCCTGACATCTTGTTAAAATACCTGGTTTTGTTTGCACAAACACAGCTGGAAATGTCCCGCCAAAATGTGTGGTTTTGTCGCCACAGACATGGCTGGAAATGTCTTGCTAAAAGATGCCTGGTTTTGTTGCAATAAAAGAAAAGCTGGAAATGCCCTGCCGTTTCGTTAGAAAACAGTTTTGTTGCCACAAACACAGCTGGAAATGTCCTGACAACTTGCTAAAAAATACCTAGTTTTGTCGCCACAAACACAGCTGGAAATGTCACTGATCTCAAACTGTGGTCTGCTGCTTGGTAGCCATGTCACCTAGGTCTCACACCATCCATCATCCCGTCCTCCTGATGAGAAACTCATCTTATATACATGTAATATGAACTAGGTCAGTTTAAAAATGCTGATATGATACGTATGAAATGTAAAACTGTAGCATATCCGCAGAAATGTACAATGTCAACACTTTATTCTGGTAATTTGGGCTGAGATTGATTCGTCCTCATTACTCATGTCTGCAAATAATATACATTTCCCAAAATGTCGAACATGCTTTTAACAACTGTTGATTTTACAGGGGACATTTAATTTGAATTTAAAAATGTTGACTGAAGAATTGTCATCCACCAAGAAGTGAGTTTGTGACTCTCAATGTCAAAATACTACTAAGGATTTTAGTAAAAGATGCTCCTAAATGTTAGGGATATTTATCAATACCAGACAAATAGTGTGTAAATCAGTTTGCTGTGATCCAAAAAAAAAGTGGCTGACTGTAGTGAGGGCTACTGTACCAATGCGTATGGCGGTGGGTCTCCCACAGGGCTGTACGGAGGAGGGATGTCATGTCTGTCCGTTTCTGCCTGATCTTCAGACAAAGAAATTGTAAAGACTGCTACAGATGTGTTTTCATCTTGCAGTCTTGCGATGGCAAAGTCATATGCTGCTCTCTTCTTTCTTGCGTACTGATACAAGCAGACGAGTATAACAGCTAGGCACACCACCAAGGCTGGGAACCTAGGAACAGATTTGCATCATGTCAGGACTTTTAATTTGTGTCTCAGGTCAGCAATTCCATTCATTCAAGATTCATTCTTGACTTGACTACTTACACAAGTGGAAAGATACTCGTCCTTGAAGTCATGACTGGAATTATGTCAACCTGCCGACATTACTGTCAGGGATAAAAATCAACAATACAATTATGTGAAACATGGACTTCCATTGACAGTGTGACAGATCTTTGAAATAAGAATCATGCAGACTGAATACAACATTTAATTTACATCCATATCATTGTTAGTTTGCAGTCATGGACAGGCTAGCAAACACCTACAGTATCAGATTGAATACAGTATATACAGTAAAAGAAGAATACAAGCATTTTCTTTAACTGGAACCAAAGTCTGGACATGTGACTGATAAAAAATCAACAAGTGAATGGGCGGGGTCATCACATGATAATGTGTCACCCTTTACATCGGAGTTTATATGAGCTGACTGGAACAGTTATACGAGACTTACTGTCAAATCACAGAGAATGACCTCAAGTGACCCTGCAGTATGAAACCCTTTGAAAACTGCTCAGCAGTTCACAAATATAAAGGTTAAATTAAGACATAATGAACGTAGAAAAGTAGCTTGAACGATTTTATACTGTCTGTTTAACGACTGACTGTGGACCTTCATCCTATATATCTGTCACTCTTTACAGCTGTAAATAAAAAATTATTAAATTCACATCATTCCAACATACGTTATCTTAATGGCACAGAATTGGAAGATAACTAGATCTTCATATCACAGTGGGATGAGTCCTTACCTTATTGAAGAATCCAAAACATAATGTACAGAAGCTGTCCTGCCCTCAGGGTTGCTATCAAAGTATAATGTGTCGCTTAAGGAAGTGCACAACCTGAAGAGCTTTTACGGCATTATTGTCCTTTTTAAAGACACAGGGCTTTGAGGTGTGTTCGGTCTCTTGCATATTTCTTGTGTATGTTGACAGAAGTCGTTCATAAATCTGTTAAACTCACTATACAGCAGTAATAATACTACTACTACTACTAATAAGAAGAAGAATAACACATTTTATTTAAAAGGCCCCTTAAAAACACCCAAGGTCATCTTATAGGGTATAAAATCACATACAGAAAAAGAGATGTGAATTGGGCACACATACTAAGAGGAAGGGAAGATGAAGAAGGTGCAGTGGGCACAGTCAGTGCATAGGCTGTTTTTAACAGGTGAGTTTTGAGATGGGATTTGAAGGATATTATGCTGTCATACTGTCAAATCTGTGTGGGTGGGGAGTTTCAGAGCCTGGGGACAGTGCAGCTGAAAGCCCTGGCACCCATGATGCTGAGGCCTGAGGTGGGAATGGTCAGGAGACCAGCAGAGGAAGAGTGCAGGGAGCAGGAGGGAGTGTACTCCTGGAGACAGTTAGAGAGGTAAGTGCAGGCTAGGTTATGGAGGGCTTTGAAAGTGAGTAGCAAAACCATCAAACAGCCAACCGCATTCCTCAGGGGTCAGTTATAAGACCACTGTTATGCTGTTTTTACTTGCAGTATACAAACTGTGTTATAAAAATCATAGCACTGTGTGGGTTGAAACCCATCTGTCTACTTTGCAGTCTGGGAAACAAAATTCTTTTTTGGCAAATATTAAGCATAATTACATTTTTACAAATAACTAATTCATGAGTATACGTTGCTTTATTTTGGAAATGACATGTTAAAAAGTAATCCAATTCAAAACAGTTTATTTGTTCCCTGGGACCAATTTGCACAGGCACATAGAGTATATGACATAATAAAGGAAATTTAAAAGTATGAAAAAATGCAAGGAAAGCTGTGAACAGTAAAACATGTAAACAACTTATGTCTTTTGTCAAAACATACATATGTATGGTGTGGTTTACTGGGGTTTTAACTGGGTTGTCTGTGGAACTTTAGTAGCTGTACCAGTTAAAGATTTCCTTTCAGGTGCCTGGTGGCTTAGTGGGTAGAGCAGGCGTCCCATATACGGAGGCAACGTCCTTGCCGCAGTAGCCACGGCCTCGATTCCAGTCTGCAGCCCTTTGCTGCATGTCACGCATGTTAAAGATTGTCCTTTCCATATAGTGGATTGTTTACAGACAGATTAATCATATATATGCCAAAAAGATGTAGCTCTATGAAATAATGCTCAGAAAAAACACTTCAGTTGTAAGAAAGCCAAGAAAAGACTTGTCAGGACATAACAACTGAGGTCACACTAAGGCTTTTAAATTCTAGATACAGATTCAAGGCAGAGTGTACAAGTACATTTACAAAAAAGGCATTTAAATTGCAAATGCTGGCCCTGATTTTAGTTGTAAAAGCAGGGCTGAAGTTTATCATTAATACAGTTCTTTTCCTGCACATTTTGCGAAGTTAATATCTCTCTGTTGATTCCATAGATCTGCCCTGTAATAAAAAGTACAGTATGTACAGATGAGAGGGTATTTGAAGTGGAGGAGGAGGATTAGGGTTGTTCTGAGTAAGGTGGAGGGTCTGTGTATGATGGTGGGAGGTCCGGGTAGGATGGTGGATCAAGCTGGAAAAGAGGTGATGCAATTGGTTACTGATGATGAAATCACAACCAGCTCTTTCAGTCCAATCCGTATCATCAATAGAAACATACCCTGTAAGGAGGAGGTGGACTGACATCTCCGGAGCTGTACATTGGGGGGTCTCTGTAAGGAGGCTCAAAATAGGCTTCATATGTGTCCATTACTTCTTCGTCCTCCTCTTCCTCCCGCTCCTCCTCATACAAGGGGATGACGTAAACAGACGGGGAGTAAGTGGGCCTCAACGGGGGGCAGCTTTCTGCTTCTCTGCTCTTCTTTGCAAAATGGCAGCAATAAATCCACAAAATGATAAGGGTGCACAAAATGGGAATCCTGAAATAAAGGACAGTTTAATAATACATGCAGCATGCAAACAATGAGGTATACAGTCAGTCAGATTGATTTCAGGGAATACTTACTCCAGCGCAATATATTGGATGATCATGGCAGGGTTTTTTTTAGGTTTCACACCTGAGCAAAATGAGGGGGGAAAAAGGATTTAAAACCTGAAGACTGTAACTCTGTTAGGGTTTGTTTTGCAGTACAGTCATACACAGCGGAAGGTTCAAAGGTAGCTCTTTATCTCATATCCTTAATCCACACCAACATAAACACCATGATCTTTACGAAGATATAATTACTGTGAAAGCTGCACAATCCTGGAATTTCTATCTGACACGGAAGATTTTGTTCTTACTTGCACAATGTCTACATAATACTGTCTACATAACGCTACAGTTCAAAGATAAAACTGTACTGAATGCATAGCCTTCATGTGTCTTTGATAAATAAAAGATTTTAGACTTGAATTCAGATTAAAGTAAGCAGTAGTGAAAGGCAGTACCAAAATATTTCCATTCCATTAGTGATGAATATAATAGGCCTTGTACAACAAGACTGTTCCTCCACTTTCAAGCCTCACTGAACAGCCAAATGTAAAAAAACAACAAGAAAACAAGAAAATGATTAAATAAGTTTGGATAAGCCCTCCCTGACTAATTTGATATTTTCCATGCTGAATATAAAGCTTACCGTCATGTACAAGCCATGTAGCACAGGTTAAAGAGAGTGTTGACTTGCAACAGAAATTTTATGGCCTCATTGACCTGTTTAAAGCAGCAGAACTCACCGAGGTTACAGGCAGTGACGTTCACTTACCACCACTGACTGACAGTACTGGGCTAAAGGCCACTGGCTGCTAAGGTGACTCTTACCGATTAAGATTCATTGAGATAAACAACATAATAAGGAAGGGAAATGGCATTTACAGACAAAACACCCTGTTATAGCTTGTTTCTTAGGAATGCAGCTGCAGTGTTGTTGAGACATGTTGGAGGTATCTGTGCTGCAGCAGAATGTTTCACTTTGAAGGAAGATTTTCTGTCCCAGGGAAAAAATATATATATATCATTTGAGGCTCACACTGCACCATCCAACACACATGAAACAGCTCAAGGTTAAACCACTACACACACTTTTTCAAGCTTTTTATTTATGCTTAACGCTGATCCCACAACAAGGCCCAGAAATATTTCCCATGCTGCACACGTTTTTAACATCTAATGGCAAGCCCAGCATGCCCGCCAGTTATGCCTTAAGTGAAAATCATGCAGTAACATAATGTTCATCAGTGTAGGGGAGGGGGAGGTGGTGGAGGTGGAGGTGGTGGCACAATACCAGAGGTGCCAGTTTGAGCGGCTGGTGGAGGTGGAGGAGGAGGGGGTACGGCTCCTGATGCTGGAGGAGGTGGAGGTGGAGGTGGAGGTGCCCCTCCTGATACTGGAGGAGGTGGAGGAGGAGGGGGTACTGCTCCTGATACTGGGGGAGGTGGAGGAGGAAGAGGTGAACCTCCTGCAACAGGAGGAGGTGGCGGCGGGTAGGCGCCATTTGACGGAGAGATTGGCGGTGGAGGGGGAGGTGGGGGGAGAGATGTGGGTGAGGTCATGGATGGTGGGGGAGGGGGGAGGCTAGTGTCCACAGAGGAAGCGGGAGGTGGTGGTGGTGGAGGAGGCATATTAGGGTCCAGATCGGCAGGAGGAGGAGGGGGAAGCTGGTTGTTGTCCGTGGGGTTGGAGACGGATTGCAAGGTGGGGACTGATGGTGGAGGCACAGCGATGCCAAGACTGGATCTGTTTACAGAAAACAAACCATCAGACACTGGGAGCAGTCATGGCATCCTGAAAGTGATGCAGCTGTTGTTTCTTACAGAAAGAGGCAGCCATTTTGGGATTTGTTGTCTCCTTCACTTTCTTGCTGAAATTTAGAACGATGTCACTCTAATGCTTGTATAGGTAATATGAAGCTACGACTAGAAGATGGTTAGCTTAGCTTAGCATTAAGACTGGAAATGGGGGGAAACAGCTTCAAAGTAGTCTGGCTCTGTCTGAAGGTAACACCTTCCAGCACTACTAAACTCACTAATTAACAGGTTATACCCTTCTTGTGCCCATAAAAATACAACTTGTAGTTTTTACACTTATTGTATGGGCTAAACAAACAAGAGTTAATGATAACTAGCGTGCTGGTAGGTGTATTTTGTTACCTTCACATTGAGCCAGGCTACAGTCTTTCAGTCTTCGTGCTAAGCTATGCTAATCAGCTGCTGGCTATAATGTGTCAGTGAGCTTTAGGGCCCTGACACACCAAGCCAACAGTCGGCTGTTGGTCGGTGTTGGGCTTTCAGTGAGCATTTGTCGCCCTAGTTATTGCGGGATGTTCCACACCGTTGGCAGTGCTTGGCCCTTGTCGGCCATTTTCAGCTAATTCAGCATGTTAAATCTGCGTCAGAAATGGCACTGCGTGTAAGTGAAGAAAATCACTCTGATTGACAGTTCGGCTGAGTGGAAGAGAAACAGAAGTGAGGAAAGTAAACAACTAAAGTCAAGAGGGACGGAGATCAGAACAAACTTGTAATATTAGGTAACATTACTTTTAGCCACTGAGCTCTTTGGCAGAAACAGTTCAGAAATTTTTGTTATTGTTTGCTAGCGCAGGTAAATATACTTTGTTCTTTCAACGTCAAGTTGTCTTGTTAATCTGATAACTGGCTAACTAGCATCTTGAATTTGTCTTGACTGTCTTCCAAGTTTCTCTTTTTGAATGAAGTATACAGACTACCGCCGCCCCCTGGTGTGTAGGGTTATTTCATCTCACACAGGCACTAAACACATGGGCTAGTTGTAGTAGTCTTTGTGGTGTGTTCAAGTGCCACTTTTTGGCCAAGGCACAGGCAACTTGACGCGATGTACTGGCCGGCCTTTGTCGTCTACTTTGATGTTGATTTGGTGTGTCTGGGCCTTTAGAGGTGATGGTAGGTATTCATTTTCTGATGGCCTGAGCCTGGCTAGCTGTTTCCCCTTGTTTCTAGTCCTCATGCTAAGGTAAGCTAACCTGATGCCCACTTTAGTCTAACATTTAGCAGACACATGAGAGTGCCATTGAACTTCTCATCCAACTCTTGGCAGAAAAGCAAACGAGCATATTTCCTAGAACTGTTTTGTTAGTAGGCTACATAATGCTTTCAGGCATGATCATAAATTGTACAAGCCCCCATTATAATAAACAGTAGGGTACTTATAGTGTTGAGTGTTTAATAAAAATCACAGTGTAACAATGAAAAGGGCAAAGGACTCTATCTACGTACACAGCGAAGTCTGCAGTGCTCTGTATGCTCTCTGTGGTGTCTGCTCTCTTTCTGGGCTTCTGCTGCTGCTGCTGCTGCTGCTGCTGCTGCTGCTGCTGCTCAGTGACCTGTGGGTAGAAGACAGATGAAGGAAAAAAAAAAGCATCTTGGCAACGCCATAGTCACCCCAGACACCACACAAGAGCTGCACAATGGAAAAGGGGGAATGGACTGTGCTAAACTTCCTAAATCTACTGGGAAATATTAAAGTTAAGTGGATTCAAACTCTGTTTTTATTTCAGTCTTTTAATTTAGTGTCCAGTTTACCACGAAACAGTGTCCAGTGGAGTCCAAGATGGAGTACGATATCGGCACTCTTGAGTAGCTTCTCTCAGGCTCCTTGCCTGAAGCTGGTGGGGTCATAAACCTGGAACGACTCTTGGTTTTGGGACTAGCAAAAGCACCGATCTCTCTCCTGGACACCTTCTCGAAGTGGATAGCTGCAGCCTGGACCAGAACACAGTGTGAACACATTTTGACACCCTTCAGAGAGTTTTTCTTGTAAATATGTGGCAACAGTAGAGCAAATGAAATATAGCAAACAAATGGACCACAGATTAAAAGTACAACAGGTGACCTGGAATTGGAACAAATGCAGCAATTTGCTTCTTGGTTCCCAAATTTACAACCAACAGTACGACTCTAGATATTTTTATTTTAGTTTGAATGTAGTGATTTTTTTGCAGAGTTCCTAAAGTTCACGCATTCCATGTCAAAGAGAGTGCAGTTTACTAATTTATATTATTTGTTTTGTAATTAAGTTATGTTATTTTTGTAACAAAAATGTAATAAAAAAAGGGCTGTCAAAACAATGCGTTAATTTCAATCAAATAATAAACACGTAAAAAAATTAACGCTGATTAATCGTGTTTCGTAGTGCCCTTTGACCAAGTGAGTCATTGAAGGCCACAGTGACTTTATCACATGACGGAGGCAGATGGGACCATTAATAGGATCACCGTTCTCTGCAATTTCTGCAGTAAGGAATTTTCGTACATCGGAGAACTTAAAACCTGAAATATTACCTCAACGCAAAACATTTAGCAGCGAACCCGGAGTTCCACGCTAGCACAGCCTCTGATGCTAGCGCTGGCAGCCAGCCTCGTCAAGCTACACTCAACCGAATGGATTGCAAAATGGAATGCAATGGCCGGCAGACGAGTTTCAGTGGTAGAGGACAGGGAGACAATTGTGTCCAAAATCTAGCAGCTTTACCATAATACATCTGCCAACATTCATTTAAGTTAAAACATTTTAAAATACTTTCACAGCAAAAGTTGATGTATGCGATTAATTTAGATTAATTAATCACAGAGCATGTAATTAATTAGATTTTTTTTTTAATCACTTGACAGCCCTACATAAAAAACATGATTAGGAAATGTATGTCAAGTAAAATCAGTCAGTATGGTGAATACATTAATTTATGAATTAACAGTAAATAATTTTGTACTGCTAGCAACATAATGCACTGTAGTTGTCTGCCACAATGACCAAATCAAAATCTGTAGGAAACTGTATTTCTGGGTTTGTTCATTATACCGTTATTTCATCAAACAAAAAACAGAGTAGCGCAACCTTCTATTTGACGCCTCGTATTCTTTTTTTGCCAGCTATGCAGAGCTCAGGTGTAGTGGCGGATCTTCCCATTGGCAGCCGCCTGAGGTGCTACCCGGGGAGAGGGGGGCAATATTGCCAATGTTTTTTTGTTGTTGTTGTTGTTGTTTGTTTTTTTGACATTCAAAGAATAGTAAATAAGGGAGTGTATGTAGAGAGTATTGAATAAAGAGAATATTAAAGGCAAATCCAAACCGTGGTGCAGTATAAAATAAGAAGAACTGTAAATTTGCACATACTGTATTCTTTTACAGTTTGTTTTTATTATTATTGCTTGTTGGGTAAGTTGTTTACGTGTGTTGATTTCTCTTTAGCTTTTGCTCTTGTTTGTAATAAATACTGCACATATAAAAGACAGTAATAATATATATATTTTGGGGGAGGCAGGTAAAGGTTGCCTAGGCGGAGAATGTGCTAGGTGCGGCACTGCTCAGGTGTAGCCTACAGTATTGTAGGTGAAAGGTGTTCCTCACCAGTGACAGCAGGTTGACTGAGGACTCCATATCCTTGATCTGCATGGCCTGGGTGTCCAGCAGCCTCAGCAGGGTGCTGGCAAGACTGTTGATCTGGTAGGTCACACTGGCCAGCGA